TCCAGTGCTGCCCAGGTGTGTGGGCAGGGGTTGGCAGAGGATGGCGTCGGGGTTGGACTCACCGGCTCCGTGGGCCCCGCTGGCTCTCCCCTGGGCTTCTCTGACGCCCCAGGCAGTCTTCCCAGCCCCAGACGTGGTCCCCAGCAAATGGCAGGAGGGCCTGGGAATGCATTCTAACAAGCCCTGAGGGGACCTGGCGCCTGGTGAAGCTGAGACCAGCCAGAGCTTCCAGCAGGATGCCGGGCTCCCAGAGGCCCCTGGGGGTTTCCCTGCCTGCCTCCCACCCCTCCGGCACTGCAGCCCTCCACGACCTCGGAGCCCGTTCTCGGGTGGCTGGCACCTCACATGCCTGGCCCCACCCCACTGCTAAGGAGTTTTTCTCCCACAGGAGGGTGGGCGCCAAAGGGAGCTTGGAGCCTGACTGGGGTGGAATATCTCTACCCCTCCCCAGAGGGCCGGATCCGGCGGGGACCCCAGCCTTTTGCCATCTGGGTTGAGAGGGAGGGGAGGAGAGTGGAGGGCCCTGGGGGTTGGCAGCAGCAGAGGTTCCGGGGGCACTGGGGCCCCTGTGAGGACCAGCGGGAGAGGAGGGACAGGGCGGGTGCGGCCCTCCCAGGAGGGGTGCTGGGAGACCTCACGGAGCATCTCCGGGGTTACAACCCCGCCCCCGTCGTGGTCTGCCTTGGGGAGAGGTTCCTGCGCCTCGCCCGAGGGTCTGCGCAGCGGGAGAACTGCCACGGCCCTCTGTGCGCGCTCGCGGGACCTCCCGCCGCCTCCCGGTCCCGCATGGGTCCGCACCGAGCAGTTTAGGCGCCGAAGGCCCAGGTCCAACGGGGCGGCGGTCGTCTGCGTGTCCGTCTTGGGGATAGCCGTATGGAGCCCGACGGCGGCCTGACGGCACCGGGCGGCACTCCGTGCCACTCACCGTGGGCCAGGCCGCGGGGAATGCGCGGACTCCGCGGGCGCCGCGCTCCGGCACCAGCTCCGGGGGCGCCGAGGAACAGCGACCACTTGTAGCGGAGCGCGCGGACGTCTGAGCACTGTGGAGGGGACGCGCTGCTGCGGCGGCGGGGAGGGGCGGGGCCTGGCACGCTCGCCCCGCCCACCGCTCCGGGCCTGCCCCGGACCGCTGGGCCTGGGGGCCCGGGTAGGCGTTCCTGTGTCCCTGGGCCGGACTGGGTTCCGGTTCTCCCAGGTGCAGAATTGGGTGAACCCACGGGTGGGTGCGGAGCGGGGCACAGGCTCTGCTCTGAGCCTGGCGAGGTTCCCCCCCACACCCCGACGTGCTCAGACTCCTGCAGCTGGTGAGGGCTGGGAGGATGGCTGTCTGCCAGGTCTCCTCCCAAGGACTCAAGGAAGCCACCATTGCCAAGGACACACACCACCCCAGGCCGCTGTACAGACTTTTCTGGGAGACTGTGGGCCATCACAGGAGTCACCTTCCCAGCCCAGCGCTGCCCTGAGCCCCGCCATGCAGCAGGCCTGGTCTGGAGACCCCACCGCCAGGAGCCTAAGAGCTCTCTCTTCTCCAGGGGGGGACAGCTTGCACATGGGGAGGGGTGCTCTGCAGACATCCACTCAGGACACCCCGACAGGCTCACCACCTGTTGGAGTGGTCGCCATGTGGCCTGGGGGAAGGCCCAAGACGCCTGGGTTGGGCCACTTGTCCCGTCATAGCCAGCTGGAACCCCTGCCCTGCCTTCTGGACCCCTCTCCTCCCAGCTCCCCACCCAACTTCCACCTCTGTGCCCAGTCTCCCCAAGGCCACGTGGAGGGCTGGTTGAAGCAGGTGGCCCGGGGCTGGGAACCCTGGGCTGGGAACCCTGGGCTGTGGGAACCCGGGGCTGGGAACCCTGGGCTGTGGGAACCCGGGGCTGGGAACCCTGGGCTGCGGGAACCCGGGGGTGAGGGACCACTGGGCTG